AAAAGCGCCAAACAGCGCCGGCTTTCAGGGTGGAGAAACAAGGAAAACCTTCCCAGGACACAGGCAGGGTCCGGCCAGGCGGCGCTCCCCAGAGACACGTGGCTGATGCCCGCAGGAGCCTGGGGTTCTCTCTCCCCCCGCTCCCTGAAGACGCTCTATCACGACAACTCAGGGTGTTATGAAAACATAAGGAGCAGGATAGAATTATATACTTGAAATATTAGTTTATTTAAAGTATTTCCCATAACATTTGCTTTCTTCTTCTTATCTGCTTTTTTTTTTCTTTTTTTTTTTTCTTAGATCACACTTAATATGATTCCACGACATCAATGCGTGGCTGAAATTGAAAGCTGTATTCTCCTAAATGTGTTCCTAACGTTCCTTTTTTTACAGAGCTGCCAGGGGCTATTCTGCATTCCCACAACTGCTACAAACCTAACATATTGTTTTGCAATAAAAATTAGCTATAAAAGTGTGAAAAATGCCAGAGATCCAAATGTGAGAAACAAGAGAAGGGGGTACGGCTTTCGCACCCTTTTAGTGGACATTTTATTTATTTTTCAAATGGAGTAGACATATTTATAGCTACTGTATTTCAATTATCTCTAATTTCACACATTTTATGCAAATTCTAGACATTTTAATTGCAAATGAGAAGGGAACTTATTTTTAAAAGTGGAGCAACACAACATTTCAGATCTCAATTTTAATTCCAAATTTATCTACATCACTGTTAAAAACTTTTAAAACCTCATTTACACTGTGACTTAAAATTAGGCGCTATTTAAAACAAAAACAAAAACAAAAGACGTCGACATCCATACCACCGAGTTACACCTCCAAAACCTTTCCCACACATTTTTAAATCTTTTGTCTTTAAATCAAAATTTTTAGGTAGAAAAATTTCGGAAGCTGAAATGATACTATTAGTCAGCGACACGTTGTTTTAACGAGAGTCGGTAATTTAACAGTATTGTCCATAACTGATGAAAATTAATGACTACCCATCTTATTTTCTTTTTCTGCCTCCATGACTTCAATTACCCAGGATATGGGGTATTAGTTAAATCCTTGCTTAGCTGCCATTCAATGGGAACTTCTTTCCAAAGGAGAAACCACACCTCAGCCCTTGGCTGCACAGAAATGCCCACCATGCACAGAGAGCATTAGTGACAAAGGTCACTCCTGCCAAGCAGCGTTCCCCAGTAGGTTACTGTCACCAGACCCTAATAAGCATATGGCCTTCAATGCTGAACCAGATAAATTCAGATCCTGTCGAACTGGAACTGGTTTCTCGCGGGGTCGATTTCCTACTGGAGCTGGAGCTCCAAATCCAAGTAAGGGGCCGGGCACCCAGCCATGATGCTGGGTTGGAGCAGCCCATGCAGGGCACTAAGCACCTACGCGGAGCCCTGCTCCCACAGCCTGCCCAACCTGCCCTGGGGTAAACACCACCATCAGTTTTGCCACGCGAAATCCATCCTCTGCAAACGCTGTTCCCCAACCACGGAATAGAGACTGACAACAAGTGCTCTTCTCTTCAGGCAGAACACGGGCGTTGACGCCACTCTTTGCTCACATGCCACTACCCAGCTCCAGTAAGACCTTTATGGCACACGCGTTCCTGCTGAGGTACGCGCACGCAACCACAGGTTGAAAATCACACTGGAGCCTACAGGGCTCTCTAAGCTGAGAATCCCGTGCTCGACTTCTCACTATCCAACGAAAAGGCCTTTCAAAGTTCCAACTATTTACTGAAAAGCATAAAGTAATTTTATTATAAACAGAAATTTACTGTCTGAAATGTGTTGTTGTTTTTTTCCCCCCCTGCTTTCTTTCTATTTGGTAATTTATTTAAATGCATTCAAAAATGCATTCAAAAAATGAGACATAGCACTTTGGTTAAGACATCTGTATTTCAAACCAACGTCTCCAGGACTGTGAGCAGCTCTGTTAATACTCTTTTTATTTGATTAGGGTAATCTGCTGCTGTGCTGTCTTAATCTTTATCCACTACCTTTTAACCAATCAATATTTTAGGGTTATAGATTTGGAAGGTAGATGATAATTTTGTAGATAAACTCTCTAGGCACTGCTGACACGGTATGGTTGCATATTTAATATCTTTTCAGAGGATTCACAACTCCAGCAACATAAGAATCTGCCCAGAAAAAAAAACATTAAACCTTAAATTTTCAAAGCTGTGTGCAGGGATTTGGCCACCTGACTCCTATTAATGTCAACGAAAATTTAGGGGTAAGAAAAGCAATGTCTTTTCCCTCAGATCATTTCTTTTTTGAAAGGAACCAGAGAACAAGAGAAAGGAAATGAAAAGCAACTTTGTACCGCAGGCTGAGACCGGCAAGGCCTGCTGTTGGGGCAGGAAGTACACAGAAGCAGAACATTTGTTCACTAAAATTAGTGAGCATCTCCACACGTATCAAAACAGGTAGGTACGAAGACAAGTTTGGAAGGAAAAAACCCAGGTTTTGTCTTTTTAAAATGCCATTAAAATATATATTTTTTAATTTTGTTCAGCTAAAGTTATCTGTTGCTTACAATATTAATTTTCCTGCAGATAAAATTAGTTGTCACTCCTCTGTTTATGGCCTAATTACCTTTTGTAAGGAAAAAACCAAACCAAAACAAAAAAACATGAGGGTGGAAGAAATGAAAGGAATAACAATAAAGCATAGCTATCTACCCTTCAGCGAGGGGGGGTTCTTTGTGCTATGTTACCCGTGGATTTCACCAGCACTGTACTTGTGCTTCACATCCATGACACCAGGTTTGCTGGGGCCGTTTTGCCAAGCTGGGCTGTGCTGGATGGGCAGGATGGGCCCAGCTGCCTTTGGCTACTTCTGCTGAGCTAGGAGCCTTAAGATGATTCAATTCCCTTTTCATATGGGGGACAGTCAGGGAAATCTGGGGCAACGGCTTGAAATAAACAGCCACTGTAGAGTAAACCACTGTACTTTCACCTTGAAATCTTTTTCCACTCTGATTCTGGTTTTGGAAATAGTAAATCACTTTTATATCGGCTGGAAGTGGGTGCTAGGCATGCCACCAAAAGGCTGCAAGACTTGTAAACAAACGGACAGAGCCCGATGTTCCAGTACTACAAATGTTGGGAACTAGAACATTTTTGTCTCATTTCAGTCACCTCTCTGCATGTTGATACAACCTTCAGCTAAGGAGCAAACACCACAAACGCTGAGTACATTTCTTAGAGCTTGGCCCAGTGCATTGATATGACAGGCATGCTCTCCTCAGAGATGAGCAACACTCGGAGAACACCGAGATGTGAATACGCTGCTTCACATCAAACTCTAAAGCTCCTCTGACTAGGAAAAAGGAAAAAAGTGACTATAAACCAGTCCCAATAAGACAAACATGAGAACTGAACTTCTTCCAGCTGACATCCTGTCTAGGAAATGGGTCCCCTGAGGCTCTTTGAGAGGAAGAGAGTATGTCCCTTCCATACAGGAAGACGCTAGATACAGTCTTTCTCTATTCATACAACACTCGCGTTAAGTCGCAGCCACGATGCTGTCCCTACCTGGCAAAGCTTGGGAGCAGCACATGCAGAAGATGAGTGAATCTGGCCTCAGACAGAAGTTGTCTTTTTGAAGCATTGCCATGAGATCTTCCCAGCTACAGTTTTGAATATATTTGACGATCAAGAAATTTCTATCTGTGTTCATTTCACAAGAGGTAAACGTCTCTTTTGTGGTAGGAAAAATCCAGCTCCCTGGAAGTGACTGTAATCTCATCTGACACGCGGTATTTGTAAATGTACTGTGGTGTCCCAACCTATTTACTGTGTTTACATAAAACTCCCCGAAATCTCCACATTCCTTGAAAAGTTAATCCAGTACAAATATCGACTGGCTGTCAATTGAGCATTATTGACTTGCTGCAGGACTGTGCTTTATTGCCTTAACTGATGAAACTTGTTCTCCTTGCTCCACTTTTTGGCCTGTTTTGGGCCAAGTACCATTTCCTAGGCTGCACCTCTTCCACTCACTGCCGTGGGGTTGTCTCTTCCAGTTAGCTAGAGCAGTAAGACAGCTGAAGTACTTTGCCATGTGCACCAGGAGCTTGGGGAAGGAAGGAAGCCAACAACCCAACCCAGTCAGAGTTTTACAGAAAGGACCTGCGCCAACGCCATTCCCTTCTCATGTAAATATTTGGCCAAGCAGCTCCAATAAAGCAACTGTCCTCTCAGCACCCACATACAGTTGTACAGAGCTGAGTTTCCAGGCTGGCTGGAGGGGTCTACAAACACTTCAGCAAGGTCCACGAACGGTAACCAAGAATAGCAAATGGACTACCAGGAGGCTTAGATTCCCAGTGTGGGAGTCTACACCTTCACTGGGAGCTGGCTGTTGTCGTTTGGTTTGGTTAGGAATTCTGAAATTAGAAAAGCTGAAAACTTTGGATACCTTTGTGTCATTTAATCAGGAGTACTACAAATCAGGTTGACCAGAAACCAAAGTTCATGATACACACTGATCATATTCTGAACACCTAAGAAAACATTATTTATCATTTCATTTTTTAAATCTATCGTTTCTAGACACAGATAATCAGAAACCACAAATAACAACTTTCACATCATTCCCTGATATTGCAACAAATCCTACCAAACGTTTTAAGGTTTGACCCCCAGGTCAAGTGAAACTGACAATAAATCTCAGGATGGATTCGATATCGTTAAGCTGCAAAACCCCAAAACCATTATGAGAGATTTATCAGAACTATCATAACAAGAAATGAACCCAAAATATTTCAGTCAGGGCAAGGAAGGACTAAAGGGTGGAATGGTACACAGGAAAAGAACCCCAGAACTTGGATGTCCATAGCAAGGCATAACGCTCGTACTCCTTTCTGACCTCAAAACAACATTTAAGAAGGAATTTGGTGAAAATTGCAGTTAAGGCAGACATATATATACGTGCGTGTATCTCACAAAGGAATGGAATAGAGTGGACACTTACACTTCGCAGGAGCAGTATCTGCGTCTCCACACGGGGATGCTTGTCATACCGTGTACAACTGCAGGGCAGTATTTGGTGCTGAGACAGGATGGTGCCACCATCTGTTCCTTCTGTTCTTACCAAGGGTCTGGTGAGAGAAGGGCACAGAGAGGAAGAATGAATGGGGATATGTCTTCTATGTCTTATTACTACATTTTCAACTCATATTCTTTATACATTTTTATGTCAAGCTTGGGTGATGGGACAGTCCAATTTTTTTAATTGAATATACTCCAATTACCTTTTTGGGAACTGAACAAAGCCACAACAGTTTTGCTTTCAGATTGCCAACCACACAGCAAATTTATTCTTGCCTAATATGTTTTATTTATTTCAGCCTTTACAACACTTTTTTTTTTTTTTTTAAACAGGACTTCCTTTTCTTTTAAATAAAAGGCTTTTAAACGTTTGACAAGTAGAAGAATCTACCCTGGAACACCAGCTATGTCAAGAACATCTGCCCCATGTTAAGATACTGTAGCTAACTTAAATAAGGTTAAATGTTGATATTTTCATTAGCTCAGTTGTTATTAAGTGTGTTTTTTTTCTTTTTCTTTAAAGTCATCACAATTTTTTTAAGGGTCTGCTTTGTGATAAGATCTTTTTTTCTTTTAACAAAACATGTGTTATCACTCAAATCCTGTCAAAGAAATTCAAGGTGTCTTAAGCAGTTTAGCTAACAGCCTCCAAGGGTGTCACAGTAGTACTGCCATATGTCCCAGACTGAAGCAACTGTCTCCTCTGCTCCTCCTTCAGCAGACCCCACGCTGCTCGCTCTTATCCCCACTGACCATTGTAAAGAGCAAGAACAAGTGCTGTGTCAGATGGTGAGAGAGCAAACAGAGCTGCCCTCAAAAAAGCAAACAAATAAAAAAAAATGCTAAAGAAGACAACTGATTCAACCGTGGCTACCCTCTGCCAGATGTTACTAGGAGCTACTTTTTTCCTGTAAAATGTTATTTGGATATTAAACATGGGGTGGGGAAATCAATATCATAACAGGCCTCTTCCTCTTCCAACAGGTTTAGCCACAGAAAATGAAATTCTCCATTTAACCGACAGACCTGATATTATCCCCATTCCTGTAAGCGTGCTACTGCCTGAAAAGTCATGGCGCATCTGCAATTTAAATAGCTGGTGTGACACCTGCAGTCACACCTCTGGCAACACTGTCAGACTCTCCCGTCCTGCCCCAGCCATGGGGGCTTCGCCTGCCTTGTACTTGTGCAGCAGAAGTGCTCTGCGGCAATTCCTCTCTCAGACGTGCTCCTTATGTGTGAGCTCGGTCAGAAGATGAAACGCTCCATGAAAAATATATATATGTATTTTACATACTGTAACTGACATTAAAACCATTTTCCGGTGGAATATGTGTAGCTACTTTCTGCAGGACTCAAAAAGGGGATTGAGAGTACTCTGTAGCTGTTGGTCCATTTCCACCTCCTGCTCCTCGTTCACACAGCATAGCTCAGGCACAACGGGAGGAGCCGCTTGTGCTCTGACACCTGGCACCTGCGCGATCGCCCCGCATCCTCCAGCGGGGCTGCACGGGGCCCCTGAGAAGGGAGCTGCCTGGCGGAGCTGTGCACGGGGCCGCGGGAGGGGAGACGTGCAGCACAAGCAGCCTGGCTAGTGCCGGGTTTGAAAGGTGAGACACAACCATTTCCCATACAGATGGCATATCAGTTTACATCTCACGCTGAGAGTTTGTGCTTGGCTGTACCAGAAAAGGGAGAAACAAATTACAACAGAGTCAGAAAGCCCCCGCAAAGCGAGGCTATGGGGGACCCCAGCTGTACTTGAACCAACCACAATCACACCATCAGCATGAGGTGTAAAAAGTGCCAAAACACGATGAAAACACTGATGCTCCATATGTTAAAAAGCTTGGGTTTTGCTGTAGCCCAAAATCCTTCCCTCCCCACATACCTGTACATAATAATAATAATAATAAAAAATAAGCCCTCGAGATCAAATAGTCAGTGGTATCTTAAAAGAAAAAAAGAAGACAGGCTTAAGAAACCAAATCCTTGTAATAAATAATATATTATGAGTTAAGGAGATGAACTGACAAAGTGGTGCACCTCTAATCTCTTCCCTGCAACAGCGAGAAGAGCTGAATCACTCACACGTTTTTCTTTAAGCATGTTCAGGGATTGTTGCTACTCCCCACCTTCTCTAAGAATATCATGCTTTACTAATTTACCAGATTGACTAAGCCACACATCAGCAGCATTGTCAGTTTTAACCTGTAATTTTACCTTGTAAAAATATGATTTCTGAACATTTTCTCACTAGAACATAATTGACTATTTCAGGGCAGGTTTAAATTAGGGCTGAGAGAATCAAGCCATCTAACTGATGCAAAGTGAGCTCTCTTTGTGGGGTTCAGAGGTTTACCCCTTCAGCCCTCCACCGAACATCAGGCAGCAGGTACCTCCCAGAGCACTGCACAGCTAGTGCACGAGCAAGGACCTCCCACCCTACACCCCTCTGTGCTTCTCTACCAAGAAATGTCAATTCGGTTCCTCCTCTCCCAGCTTTGCCATCTGGGAAAAAAAATAAAATAAAAAAAAGGGCCTCTACAACATCCTCTAAAACCCCTGTGCTGGTGGCACCAGCTTCTGTGAAGAAGCACACACCTTCCAAGCAAGAACCGCTGAAAGACAGGACGCTTTTGGTGTAACACATCACGCGGGAATTTTGTAATGAAAAGTCGGGCAGCGACACAGAACAAAAGACTCCACGACATGATGCTTATTTTTAGAATGAGTGACAGTTTGGCACTCTGGTGTGAGAGGTGTAAACGGAATAAAACCCCTATTTTGCTTTTAACAGCTCAGAAGCTGGACAGATTTTTTTAAAATGTAATTATTTTTAGCATGGCATTAGCACGTTTTCATGCCTGCATAAGCCTGGCATATATGTGATCGCACTAAAGACCCCTGTAACTTGACAGGTCAAAAAGTAAATGGTGAGAATGTAACTTGTTCGTATTTGAGCTAAGTTAAAAACTCTTTCAGTGACAAATCATTCCTAGCCATCTTCTCTAATTTGTTTCCTTAGTCCAATAAAGCATTTCAACTTAAAAGGAAGAAAGAAAAAAAAAAAAAGACAGAAAAAAGAAAATGAAGAAAAGAAGAAAAAAGAAAAAAAAGATGACAGGTGCAAACTTATAATAGGGCAACAGAGAAAGCATTTTGTTAGCAGAAAGATAAATTTCAAATTCTAAAATGATTTTTCTTCCATTAGTTATTTCAGTATTGTGGAGATTTCTGAATGATGCAATGACCATCAGGAACAACTTTGCCCACAGCTGTGTCTAAATGGAGCTGTTACTGGTCATCAGCTCACGAGACCACACTGACACAGCTAACGCTCACAACCCAAGCAGGAGAACTGAGAAAGTGTAAAAACAGTATTACAAGCACTGGAGACGATCCCAAAGAGTACTTAGAAATAAGAACATGTTTGCAAAATGCTTGTAGGACAGTGGTTTTGTACTGAAAATTAACTCAACCACCAAATCAACCCCAGAGATGCAACTTGAGGGAAGACTCATGCCAGGCCATCGACAAATGCTGGCAGAGGCAGCAGAAACCCGAAGTGCATCTCCCTTATCTTTGACTGGAGATCCCAGCAACCTGTCCTCTGGTCTACATACATAATCAGCCTGTGCCTAAGGGAAAAGAAATAAAAGAAGTAACGGGGCCTGAAATGGAAGTCTTGTGTGCTGCCCGCTGCAGCCAGGGCACACTTTTTCCAGAATTCATGCTTTTTTCTTTTTTTCTCTCTTTTTTTTTTTTTTTTTCGTATTCCACATTCTCTGCTTCTCTCAGTGCTTCCTCACTGCTGCTCCATCTTCTTTCCCTGCGAAATCCTCATACCCTGTTCCACCTCACTCTTGGATGCTTTATTTTTTCACCATAATGGAAGCGGGCACCAAAACTTCAGCGGGCGAGGGCTCCCTCCATCCCTCCAAACCTGTGGCAAGGGAGGGCACCCAAAGGCAGAGCCGTCGCTGCAGACCTGTCCTGTGACAGCCAGTGCTGCTGGCAGGGGCAGGGACTGCACTCAGGATGACCAAAAAAAAAAAAAAAAAAAAAAAAGGCAGCGGAGGAAAAGGGGGAAGCCTGTTTTTTCAGCAGCCAAGCTATTTGAGAGATAATTGCTGTAATTTTGTCTCTCCTGAATCTTTTTGCTAGGCAAGCGTACTGAGGGGGGTGGACGTCTACTTCTTCAAAGTGAAATAATTCACACTGCTCTGGAAGTAGTTTTGTTAGTTTGAAATTTACACTTGGCCATTTCTAAATTCTAGGACAAGACCTAAAAACTGAAAAAAAAATACTGAAGAGAGAGAAACAGACAGATAGACAAGAAAGAAGATCAAACCATATACTGCTGGGAAGGAAGAAAAAAAAAAGACAAAGATTTTCACTTTGTCTGGCACAGTGTTTTCATGTTTTTTAAATTGTTCTGTATTTTCACAGCTTCAGCTGATATTTCTGAAATATGGAATTTGCATTTCCGAGGTGGGGAACGCTGCCAAAACTGTTAATCCCAGGCAGATGTAAAGTTGCGCCACTATATTGTGATGTGGCTCCTTAAAAACAACTTAAAAGGATAAAAAACAACAGCAACAAAAAAACAACCGCCACCACAAATATTCACCAACCCATATGGTCAATAATTGCTGTTTAATAGTCCTCCTATTACAAACCTAAAAAGCAGCAGCCAGAATTACCAGTAGAGTATTAATAAACAGGAATGAGTTAATAGTGCATAAAGACCTTCTAGTGGAACAGTGGGGGAGTTGAATATTCTTTTCTTAAGTCAGCTGTAAGTAATTACTACATGGTGTGCTTCTGACTATTACCATAACAGAGCAATTGGACGTGAAGAATGGATAATAGTATGGACATGGAGGTATTTTTAGAATATCAGCAGTGAGGCAGGTAAATGCCCTACTCAGGCACAACCCCTTACATAAGTTTAAATAAGTTTTCCTACTGACACCTAGCCCGAGCAGCAGTTTGAAAAGATCAATCTAATAAATTATTTAAAGTAACTTTCTAAAGACATGTCTGT